CAAGATCACAGGTGTCAGTGTCACAGTGACCAGAAATGAAGCTGATATGTGGAAACCAGGCTGCAAATCTGGCTGAAATTGATCTACACTCTCTTATGCTTTATGCCTGTAGGTTTAATATTAAAGGGTTAAATTCTGCCTTGCTGCACAGCATAGAGATAGCTGTATTCTCTATAGAAAGAGCCGGCAGGATTCTGGCAGCTACTCAGTGCTGCAGTCCAGCAAGAGCCAACACCCAACGTGACCACCTTTCCAAGTCGGTGGCTGCTTTGCTCATATGCTGTGCACTTCCTTGTGCCTTCAGAACTGCACCGTGCTGAGGTTCCTGATTCCTCCTTCATCAGTAACCCACGGATCAGGAGCAGCCCATTGCCCTTGGCTAGCAGCTGGCTAACACTGTGCAGGCAGTGCCTTTGCCCTTCGTACCACACTACTGCACTGACAATACTTTGCTATTACATTTTTTTTTTTAAATCTGACCTCGTGTTCGCTGTTTGTCATTTCTCACCCCTGGCACACACCCAAGGACGTGCCTGTTCTCAGTTGGGGTTCACATGTGCAACCACTTCCCTGTATGTGTGTCCTTCCATGGGGGCTGTGGGAACCCCTTGGCCTCTGGCATGGATGGGGGGGGTGGGAGATGGAGAAGTTGAGAGGCCAAAGGGACATGACAGGGCCTGGAGGGGTCTCTGCTCACCTGCACCTTCATGTGGACACGTGCACAGCACATGGCTGGGTTGCTTTTGCCACACACCCAGGCTGTTGGTCCCCATTCCTCATGTTGCTCCCATACAGAGATCTTGGGATGAGCAAACTTCCAAAGAAAGCAAAAACTTGAAGATGAGAGTGGAGAGGGTGAGTTCAATCAGCTTTGTTGGGCTTGTAGTTCTGACATTAAAGAAAACGGTGGGATCCCACCAACAGAACCTGAACTCTGAGTTCCTATTTCTTTCTTTACAGTGACTAGAATAGTTCTTTCCTGTTACAGCAGAAACTAGAGAACAGGGAAATAAGGCAGGATCAGCTAAAACCTCTTACATTTTCATTTGCAATTTTATTTGTCCTTTCCAAAGGGTGTAACAAAAAGGACAACCCAGTGCTGGAAGACACCAGCAAGCCAAGGAGCACTGCTCTCCAGCCTGCTTTGCTTCTGGCTTTATGTTTACCTCTTCAAAAATCACAGAACTGCAGGGCTTGGAAGGGACCTCCAGAGACCACCAACCAACCCCCTGCCCAAGCAGGCACCTACAGTAGGTACACAGGTGGACGCGCAGGCAGGTCTTGAGTATCTCCACGGAAGGAGACTCCACCACCTCTCTGGGCAGCCAGTTCCAGTGTCTGTCATACCAATTTCCAAGCAAATCCAAATTCACAAGACGTAGGAGCATCTAAGCTTATTATTTCCTAAAATTGTTCATTTATACTTAATTTACTGCAAAGCTACAGCTGTTCTGACTGTTACACTCAAGGCCATGTGGAGGGGCTCTGAGCACCCAATGGAGCTGTGGGTGCCCCTGTTTGTTGCAGGGAGTTGGATCAGATGGCCTTAAATGGTCCCTTCCAACGATTCTATGAGTCTACCTTCTCACTGCTGCTATTATCTTCACACTCAAATGCTAACTGGAAGAGTCCTACTCCACAGTTAGGCCTACTGCCATACTGCATCTTCGGGTTCTGAATTAACAGATTAATCACAACCTATCAAGCAGTTATTTAATTTTTGTGGGTTTCTTTTGACAAGACTGGAAAATCCCAGCAGATATCCATTCCAACAGAAGGCTCCACGAAGGGTGACAGGCTTTGTGCCTTGGGCTCGCCAGCAGTAGGGTTGGGCTTTTCCTCCTTTCACCCCAGGCCCCTGCACTACTTCCATACGGGACAATTCCCTGCATTATGTGCTGTTTGTAAGGAGCTGGGCCTTGGGGCTCCATCCAGAACTGCCTGATCCCCATTTTCCTCATCTCTCTGAGAACCTTGAATCACATCAAGACCGACATCGCCTCTACGCAGACCTCTGTGCCCTTCGGTATTTTGGCTCTCCATATAAACAGCCACTGTGCGCCCCGTCCAGCAGAAAGCAGCCCAAAAGAAGAGCACCAAAGAGACCCCTGCTGAGATGTTGGTCTCTTCAGTGCAGGTTTTCCTTTTCCTCTTCACAGAGGCGCTCAGCATGGAATGAGGTCCCACACGTGCTTGAAGAAATAGAAAATCCCAGACACTTCTTTTTTTTCCTAAAGGTCGTTTTATTGTAAAACCATAAATACAACACTGACATGAAAATCCTCAAGCAACGGATGCTTTCTTACAGTTACAGTTTGTCTTCTGCCTTGGCATCAACTCTGAAAAGAATGTTGCAGAAACATGTCTCTAAGAGGTCTCCAAATAACCGAGCTCTGCCCGGAGCGCTCGGCTCCTTTGGAAGCGAAGTGGAACTATTCCTCTCGTGGGGAATATTTCCATTCAGACAGCAACAGACTTGTAAAAACAGCAACATTTAAACACCTTGATTTTTTTTTTTTTCTTTAATAATCCTTTTCATTTGACGTCAGTCTAAGTTTCAAACAGCACTGATTTATTCAGCTGTAAAAA